ATGTGGTGCTGGGGGATTGAACCGCGGTCCCTGTGTTTTGCCAAGCTTGTTTCAAGTAGGTGCTTTAGACCACTGAGCCATCTCTCCAGCCCTAAGCTTGTTCTAAGTAGGTGCTTTAAACCACTGAGCCATCTCACCAGCCCTTATTTATTTTTTGGAGATAAGGTTTTGCTAAGTCTCTGAAGTCGCCTAGACTGGTCTTTAACTTAGAATCCTCATGCCTCAGCTTCTTACATTGTTTGGATGACAGGTGTAAACCTTCCACGCCCAACCTGTACTTCAGACTCTGAATTCTTCTCTCAGCCTAGCTTTACAATCATATAGTCTTGATGCTGAGCCACACCTCCTGCCTGCCATTCCATGGGAGTAAACAACTGTAAGAGTATGCTCTTCCTAAATTACAGTGTTCAGTTAGAGGCCTTAAATGTATTTTAAACATTTATAGCTGGGTGTGATGGTGTATGCCTATAATCCCAGCCAAGTGAACCCTTTTTAAAAACAACAACAACAAAAAACTAGCTGTGGTAGCACAAGCACTCTGGGAGGTTGAAACAAGGATCACAAGTTCAAACCCTGCTTGGACAAATTAGCGACATATGAGACCCTGCCTCAACGACATGGTAGTGCACACCTGTAATGCCAGCACTCAGGAGGCTGAGACAGGAGATCACTGTGAGTTCAAGTACAGCCTGAGCTACATAATGAGCTCAAGGCCAACCTGAGCTACACAGAGACTCCATCTGAAAAAAAAAAAAAAGAAAAAAAAAAACAAGACAGGAATGGTCACACAGACCTGTAATCTCAGGGAGGCTGACGCAGGAGGATCACCAAGAGTTCAAGGCCACACTGGGCTATAAAATGCCTGAGTGAAACTGTATAGTGAAACCTCTCTTAAAAAAACACAACAAATAAATAAAAGATATCCTAGCACTTAGGAGACAAGGATTATTTCAAGTTCAAAGTCATCAAGAGTCACAGAATACTAAAAAGAATTTAAAATTTTAAAAAGAAATAACATAAAATGTTGGGCCTGGGGTTTTTAGCTTAGCAGTAGAATGCTCACCTAGCAAGCTGGAAGCCCTGGGTTCAGTCTTCAACACCAAAACCAAAAAATAAACCTAAACTAAAAAACAATTTTATAATTTTTTTTTTTTTTTGGGGGAACCAGGGATTGAACTCAGGCCCTTGGGCTTGCCAAGGAAGCCCTTATTCCACTGAGCCATCTCCCCAGCCCTAAAAAACAATTTTAAAAAACCTGCCTGGCAAGATGAGGTCATGAGTTCAATTTCTGGTACCAAAAATGGAAATTATTATTTTTTTTTTTAATTTTTTTAAATCTTTATTTTGTGGCCAGCTCAGCCCACCTGGGGGCGGGGCTGGCTGGCATGTGGTGCTGGAGGATCGAACCGCGGTCCCTGTGCTTTGCTAAACTTGTTCTAAGTAGGTGTTTTAGACCACTGAGCTATCTCACTGGCCCTGGAAATTA